ACCACGTGGGCCCGCGTTCATGCACATGTCACAAGCTGCCTCACTCCCACCTGAGTTGATAACCCGCCCAAGGCACGGCTCGTCATCCCGGCGCGATCTCGAAAACCGCTGATGCTCGTCAACCAGCGGGCTGGAGCGCATCGTCATAAAGTCACTCTGGTCGCTCTCCCTCCCTCTCTCTCTTACACAAACGCACGAACACATGCACGGTAGCGATCGTAGCAGTCGGCTAGCACCGCCCGGGCGCGGTCCGAAGCAGGGATGGGGGCGGCAGGCAGGCAAGCCGGCGCGCGGGGCGATTTGTAACAAGCTCCGGGCATTCAGAAACGGGGGGGGCTCATATGGCTGGGGATGGGAGGGCCAAGAGCTTGCTGCGGGTCGTCATGGGCTGATGATGACGGAAGCGAAGAGAGAGAAAGGGAAGAGGAGAGAGGGAAGAGGAACAGGGGGAGGCAGGGATCGTGGAAGGAAACGAAATCTGACGTGCGTCCAACTGTGAAACGCAAGGAGCGGTGGCTTGGGATGTTGAGGAGGGCATGGCTTCTGCGCGCGCGCGCGTTCTCTCTCTCTCTCTCTCTCTCACACACATTGTGGTCAGACGTTTGGTTGGCGGGGTGTGGCTGGGGAGACGGTATTTTCGTCGATGCTTTCTTTGGTGGTTTTGCGGTTTGGCTTGGAATCAGCATGCACACAGATTTGGTAGAGCATCGCGAGCATTGGCCCAGGAACACCATGCAGGCGACTTTCTAGAAGCAGTCTGAGGATGATCTGCCTCTGCTCTGCTAGCTTGGGACGTTGCCGTCGCCACGCTTAGTGCCTTTCTGCAGACCTTCTACATGTACAAGAGCCATTGTTGCGAAGAGAAGCTTTGCCGAGCAGATGCTCCGTCGGCTGTCAGAGACGACGCCGCCACACGCGACTGCCACCCAACACGAAACCCAATCAAATGGACAGCGCCTAGTTCAGCAGGGGTGAAACATGCTAGAGGGAAGCGGACGAATGGCTCGGCGTGTCTGGCGGCGGGTGGGAGATGGAGGGGAAGGGAACGGGGAACGGGGGCACGGCGCGAGGCCAAGCTGAGATGCGACGCTGCGGCCCCTTTGCCTTTTTAGTGGTTTGTCTTTTGCCTTTCACCATAGAAGGGTGTAGCGGGCAGGTGCTGAGTGGCCTTGAGGCGGGCATCAGGTGTCAGGGACAGTGTCTGGATCTCCGGCGTCGAGACGAACGCCTCCCCCCCCTTGAGAAATCTGTGCTGTCAAAATCGATTTGAGGCTGACGAGAAAGCAGAATGGCACCCCGATCCGTCTCAATGGGACAGAGTCTATCCTTGGAACCCCCATTGCTTAAGCTGTTTTGGTTGCTCGCAGCCGTTGATGTCTGATCGCCTCGATTCCCCCCCTCACCCTTCAGCTTTCACCCCTCATCTTTCCCCTGGAGGCTGGACCGTCCCGAGCCAGCATGACTCTTGTCGCAGGTGTCGATTTGCTCATGGCATAGGCTTGGGCCGTGGGCTTGGAAGTGTTTCTGGCCTTTTTTGACTGGATCGACAGGCGATCAACTGCATACTGCTAGCCGGTGTCATAGGCGAGACAGACAACTGGCGGCAGGAAGTCTCATTGTGGCCGCAATTTGTGCAATCATGTCCTCACTTGCGTCTCGCCTGGCATGGGCCTGGGCATGCTGCCAGTCTTCCGAGTCAACAGGCGCTGAGCAGTCAGCAGCCAGCAGCCACCGCCGGCCATCGTTGGCCTCTCACAGTTGGCCTCTCACAACTGAAGAACACAATTGTTTCCCGCTTTCACGGTTCAGGAGACAGTGCCCGCCCGGCGTTGTCTCGTGGGGAGCCGGCATCGACCCTGTTTCTGCCCAAAACCTGGTGCAGGATGATTCAGGGGGGCAGTTTTGAGATGCAGGTAGCTGGATAGTGCAAGCAGAGATGAATACACCGTATAAGCCGTTCTGAATGGCCTCAAAGTGGCCCGGAAGAAAGCACGAGCGCTATCAACCACACTGTACCACTACAAACATGCCCCGGAGAACGCCACAGGACCGCTAAAACGACCAGGGCCCCGACCACACCACCACCCTGCGATGGCCGGACACATCTTTCCCCTCCAACGTCCTTCCATTTCAGCACGCGAGTGGATCTCGACCATCGCCCAACTGGTGTAAGCTGTTACACCAAACAGTTGCGACAGAACTGGCGGCGGCTTCTCTGTCATTTGGACCTTTCTCCCCCTCCAGAAACACGTCTCTACTCCTCATCCTCTTCGTCACTCTCGCCCTTTTTTCCAGTCTCTTACTGCCACGTCGTGCTGTGAGGAGGCTCGAAATCGCGGGGGTCTGCGACAAACGACTACCAAACGGAAACCCACTAGAATCACCGGCAGCGCCAGCGCCAGCGCCAGCGCCTGCACCAGGACCAGCACCAGCGATCGCCGCCAGAACCTGGCAGACAGGCCCACGAGAAGCGAGATCGTCCGCCGTACGCTCTATCTATCCCTTGACAGCTTGCCCGGCCATTCTCAACCCTCTTGCAGAGTCGTACAGCGGTTTTACGTCTCCGAATCGTACTACCCACCAACACAACAGGGCCAGCATCAGTTTGCCTTCGCGTTCGACATTCACGAGGACCCCGACCCTAGGGCCATCGACCACAGAGCCGACCCTTTTGACTTCCGCCCCGAACCAACGCTGTGCACGATCATAATAATAATCGAGGCAATCGAGGCAGACTTGCCTTGTCTCCAGCGCATGCTGCTTTGCCTCGACGCCCACAAAAGCCTCCGCTGCCTCCCCACCTGTACTCTTCGTCGTCGAGGGAAGACGAGAGTAGAGAAAACGCGAGGAGGGACGATAATCCCCCCAGCAGCACAAAGAACCCGAAGCGATCGGACGGCCGATGTATCCCGGCATGGCTACACAAAGAAGGTACGAGAGACACCCACTGTCAAATCAACGGACTGCAACCCCTATGCACTTTGCAATCCATCTACCCGATATTGCCTCCTTTGCCTTTGCCTTTGCCTTTGCCTTTGCCTCTGCCCTGTGCCCCCTCATCTTGCTCGACTCGCTATAAGCTGCCTCGCCAGGGCCCTCAGTAGGTCCCTAGCGGGCCTGCTGAAGAGGCCAGGGACCTACCTACCTAGGTACTGAAGAACAACGGCCCTAGCACGGCACATGAGAGTTAAGGCTGGTTGACGAGTGGGGTTCATTTCGATTCGCACCCCTACAGTGGAAGCCGCGCTCGACCCCTTCTTTCCCTCCCACGCCCGCTACCAATCCCACTCCTTCTTGCCTGCCTCGCCCACTGGGTACCGGTGCTGCCCTGGGCTGCCCGCTGCCCGCTGCCCGATCTCCAACCGACCACGGCCAATTCACCTAACTGCCTGACCTCCTGAGTGCTCTTCCCATCATCACCTCCCTCTCTTGTCTGCCGCCGCACTGCTGCCATCTTCCCCCCTCCCCCTTCACCGAGTCTGCTGCAGATTCATTCGTCGAGGCGGTCGCAGGCTTGCAGCTAGCCACAACTCGATTCATTGCCCGACTTGTCTCTTAAACCTCCCACCCCCCTACCTGTCATTCTCTACCGCCTGAGCCGAAATCCCCCACCCGCCCACCGCCCCTTTGCCTCGCCTGCGCGCATATGCCGACCGACCATGGCTAACGACCGCAGCGTCTACTCGTCCGGCCAGTTCATGAACCCAGGCCCGGCCCCGAGACCTCCCACCGACAACAGACCCAGACTCGCCCTCACCCCCAATGCCAACCTCCCCGGTAGCATGGCCAACATGGCCATCTCCCCCATCCGGAGCACCACCACTTCGACCTACACCGGCTCCACCATTTCTCTGCCCATCGCACGTCAAAACTCGAGCCAGACCGATGGCATGGGCGGCGTCGCCATCAGGAAGGAGGGTTGGGCGCAAGTAAAAGAAAGCAAGAACTTCATCAACCCCTGGAAACAGAGGCTACTTGTCCTCCGCAAAGAGTCGCTCGACTTCCACAAGACGGAAGGCGGCAAGGTCGCCTACACACTGTACCTGAAAGATGTCGTCAACGTCGGCCGAGTCGAGGCTGCAGGCACCATCTTTGAGATCAAGAGGAACCCCAACGGGTCGTCCAACAGCCCCGGCGAGGACGACGGACAAACCAAGACGCTGCAGATCCGAGTCAAGAGCGACGATGATCTGTATGAATGGATTGACCTCATCTACGGCGCATGCCCTGGTATGGGAGGCGTCAGCAACCCCACCAACTTCTCCCACGCCGTTCACGTCGGCTTCGATCCCCAGACTGGCGAGTTCGTCGGCCTGCCACCCGAGTGGTCAAAGCTGCTCAACTCATCCGCCATTACAAAGGAGGATTACGAGCGCAACCCGCAAGCTGTCTTTGAGGTCCTCGACTTCTACTCCGACCTCACGAAGCGTGCCGGCAATCCCCAACAGTACTCAAGCCTCACACCCACGCCGCCCGTGTCCAGTCAGCAGAACAAGCAGCTTGGCTACGGCAATGCAGGCGCCGGCGTAGCGCCGCCTCGCCCGATGCCCCCCTCGCAGCCACAGAGACAGCCTAGCTACAACACGCAGGCCTCGCCCCAGAGCCAGAGGAAGCCGTCGGCGTCAGATCAACAAGACCAGATGCAACGTCAGCAGATGCAAATGCAGGAGACCCGTGATCGGGAACTTCAGCAGCGCGACCAGCGTGATCGCGATGCCCAGCGCATGCGGCAGATGGAAGCACAACGGCAGCGTGAGATTGACGAGGCTAACCGTCGTGACCTGGAAGCCTACAACGCAGCCATCCCCAAAACCAAGGTCCCGATGGCCCAGCAAGAGCTCGGCGGCTTCGGAGGTGGTGGCTCTTCCTCCCCGTCTCCCTCGGATCGCTACAACCCTTCCAGAGCCGCACCGCCGGCGCCGAAAGCCAGCAACCAGCAGGTCGGCAGCCTGCGCGCACAGCGTCCCGCACCCTCTCCCCCCACGGCCGGCTCCACACGGCCGCCCCTCAGCTCGCAGCAGAGCTCCAGCTCTCTGCGGGATCCCAACCAGGCTCAACGAGCGCCGCCGCGACCTGACCCGAACCAACAGCGTTACCCGAACGGCAGCTCAGCCTCGCAGCCCCGGCCGAACGGCCCCAGCCAGGCCCAGGCTCCGTCACGCCTCCCCGCGCCTGTGAAGCCCTTGAACGTCAACAAGGCCCCGGCGCCCCAGCCGTCGGACGGCGTCAAGGCGGCCGAGGCGGCCTTGTCTGCAAAGGCCCCGGCATCCGAGCGTAAGCAGGATGTGCGCATGTCAACCATGTCCGAGGGTGAGGTGATGGCCAAGCTCAAAGAAGCTGTTTCCAAGGACGACCCCAACCTATCGTACTCGAAGCAAAAGAAGATTGGCCAGGGTGCCTCAGGCTCCGTCTATGTCGCCAAGGTCAAGGAGACGGCTCAATCGCCTATTGCCCGTGAACTGTTGCGGTCGCAAGGTCTCAAGGCCCAAGTCGCCATTAAGCAAATGGACCTCGCACACCAGCCGAGGAAGGAGCTCATTGTCAACGAGATTATGGTCATGAAGGACAGCCGACACCGCAACATTGTTAACTTCCTGGACGCTTTCCTACGCAACAACAACTCGGAGCTGTGGGTTGTCATGGAATTTATGGAGGGCGGTGCCCTCACGGATGTGATTGACGGCAATACGAGCATCAGCGAGGAGCAGATTTCGACCATCTGCCTCGAGGTAAGACGATGCAACTTTGATTCGGCATGGAACGCAGCTGACCAGTTCAGACGTGCCGTGGCCTTCAGCACCTTCACTCGCAGAACATTATTCACCGTGATATCAAGAGTGACAATGTGCTTTTGGACGCCCGTGGTAATGTGAAGATTAGTGAGTTCACACAGACCCGCTCCCCTCGCGGAGCAGTGGCAGATTACTGACCGCGATCAATGTAGCCGACTTTGGCTTCTGCGCCAAGCTCACAGAAAGCAAGTCGAAGCGTGCGACCATGGTCGGCACGCCGTACTGGATGGCACCTGAGGTGGTCAAGCAGAAGGAGTACGGCCCCAAGGTGGATATCTGGTCGCTAGGCATCATGGCCATTGAGATGATCGAGTCGGAGCCGCCATACCTCAACGAGGAGCCGCTCAAGGCGCTGTATCTCATCGCGACGAACGGTACGCCGCGTCTCAAGAAGCCGGAGAAGCTGAGCAAGGAGCTCAAGGCCTTCCTGTCGGTATGCTTGTGCGTGGACGTCATGAGCCGTGCCTCGGCGGAGGAGCTGCTGCTGCACGATTTCCTCAAGCACGGATGTCCTCTGTCGAGCCTCGCGGATCTCCTCGCCTTCAAGAAGACGGCCAAATAAGTCGGCGGCCGACGGCGGACGGGCACAGAGCGGAGAAGACGATGATGGTCATGGCCGTGACCGTTATGTTGATGGGGGGGCCCTGAATTGGTTTGGATTACTGCGGGATTGCGTGACGAAATAACTTATTAAATGACCAAGTCGGGCGTTTCGTGGATCTACGGAGGTGGATGAAGGGGGGAGAAGACGCTCCATGACAGGAGGAGCAGAGGAGAGAGAGAGAGAGAGAGAGAGAGAGAGAGAAGGGCAAGAAGCGCTGAGAAGCAGAGGAAGGGGTTTTCGCCCACGTTACGGCGATGGGTAATCGGTAGAAACGGCAAGGCGCCAAGCCCGAACACGGCGCGTGGTTTTATGCCGAACAGCGACGGGGGCAATGGACAGGACGGACGACGACCGTGGTTGCGGCTGTGGTGACGATTACGGTCACGGTTGTGGTCGCGGTCTCGGTCTGTGGCCTGCGCGGACGAGTGTGCATAGGGACCGGTCTCTCGACAGAGGAGGCACTGCGGCAAGCGAGCGACTGGCCTTGGGCAAGGGACCGAGTTCATAGGAGTGCTCAATGAAGCGGAATGATCATGGCATGGAATTACGAGGTCGGCATGATGCTCGGCGACACTCTGGCCCGTGTAGTGTGATGGAAAGGATAAGAAGGGCAGGAAGGCAGATGATGCTGTGGAATCAGCCCTGTGGTCCCTGATCCTGCCGTGTCTGCCGGGGGGGGTCCGCGCGCCGTGATTAGTTGGATCGTCAGAAGACGGGACTATGATGCACGTAGCGTGGAGCACGACAGGATGTGACGCGTAGGCTCCATGTTGGGCCTCCTACAAGACGGACGACGAAGACACCGACCACGACGACGAGGCCGACGACGAGGCCGACGACTGTGAAGGGCTGGTGCGGGGCCCAGGCTGGAGGAAGGCGAGCGATTGGTGTGGTTGTGGTTCGGGAAAAACGCGAGGTCTCCAGCGCACGCGGCCAGCCACCAGCCACACGAGCTGAAATACGAGGTGTCCCCTCGTAAAACCCGGGTGCCCCAGCACTTGTGCCTACCTACCTTGCTACCTGTGTCGCGCCTGCTTGTCGATGGCGAGGCTGTTGCACTGCTCTCGCTCGTCTCGTCTCGTTTTCCTTTTACTGCATCGAACTCGAACCCATCTCGTCAAAGGCAAAAACCTTGATTCGTCGAATGGTGGTTTCCTCCCCACGGCTTTTCCTCGCGCCGGATCAGGGCTTCTTCTGCGTTTTTACGCCTTGATTCTCGTTGCTGTAGCTGGGTCTGGACTCTCTCACTTGGGGGGGGGGGGGGGCAGCCAAAGCAACATTGAGGGTGTCACCCACCAACACCACAAGCAGCACAACCACAGCCCAAGGGGTTTTTCCTTGAGGGACAAATGTCGCCCAGTCCGTCCGCCGGCTCGGCAACGCCCATCACGCCGGGCACGCCGGCCGCTTCGCGCGGGAGCTCGAGGCTGGGCGCGACGGGGGCCGAGACGGGACCTGCTGGTGCCGACAGGGACATGGAGCTGGATCTGGACCTGGATCTGGATCTGGAGACGGGCGGCAGCGGCTCAGCGGCGGCTGCGGGCAGCGGTGGTGGTGCTGGTGCTGGTGCTGGTGGTGGCTCCACGGGCAGAGGCGCGGGCACGCCGGCTTCGGGGACGGTGCTGTCGAGGCGGTCGCATCCCAAGTCGAGGACGGGATGTCGGACCTGCAAGAAGAGGAAGATCAAGGTGTGTGCTCTCTTTTTTTCCCTTTTTCTTCTTCTTTCGGTTGTTCCTTGCTTGGCTTGGCTTGGCTTGGCTGCAGCGGGTTGTCGTGGATGGAACGGTAGGGGCGATGCCTTTCGGGAGACTCGGGTTTCTCGGGTTGAGGGCATCGTGGGATGGTGACCTCACTTTGACTTGGGACCTCATAGCTTTTCTTTCCTTTCTTTCTTTTCTTTCATCTTGTTCTCACCCCTCTTCGACCCTCTTCGAGTCTGGAAACTAACAAAAAAGTGCGACGAACACAAACCGTCCTGCCGCAACTGCATCAAACATGCCGTGGCCTGCGACTTTCTCCAGACCCATGCAACGTCCACGTCGGCGCCGCGTTCGCCCTCGTCGTTTGACTTTGCCGGCAACCCTGGAAACGGCCTGTCGACCTTCACAGACCTCAACATGGTCGACCTCGAGCTCATCCACAACTTTACGACCTTCACCTATGCCACGCTCGGCTCCGATCCCCAGGTGCGCCAGATGATGAAGACGACGGTCATCCGCATGGCCCTCGAATGCGAATACATCATGCACACCGTCCTCGCCGTCTCGGCGCTCCATCTCTCCCACTACCGCCACGCGCGCGCCGACTTTTACGTCACCAAGGCCATGCAGCACCACCAGGTCGGCGCCCGCGTCGCCATTGCCCTCATGGGCGGCGACCTCCACAAGGAGGACTGCGAACACCTCCATCTCTTCTGCCTCCTGACCCTCTTCTACGCCCTCGGCTCCCCGCGCAAGTCCTCCGACGACTCCCTCCTCATGGGCCAGAGCGCCTTCCCCAACTGGATCTTCCTGCTGCGCAGCCACGAGCCCATCATTGAGCGCCTCGACCCCCACAACTACACGGGGCCCCTGAGCCCCGTCTTCGCCCTCGGCCGCGAGCGCTGGCACGTCCTCAACAGGTGGGAGCAGCAGCTCCCCGGCCCGCCGCTGCTCGGCGAGCTAAGCGCCCTCGTCGCCAAGGCCGTCACCGACCCGGACCTTCTCAACACGTACAGCTTTGCCATTGAGCACCTGCGCCGCGTGCTGACGCTGCTCGTGGCCAACGGCGACGGCGCCCTGGGGCCCGCCGTCCGCCTCGAGGGCTGGGACGTCATCATGTGGAAGTGGCAGGTTGCCAAGGATTTCCTGCCGCTGCTGCAGGGGCCCGACCCGGCGCAGGAGGCCGTCGCCATCTTTGCCCACTTTCTCATCCTCATCAAGAAGGTCGAGGACCAGTGGTGGCTCGAGGGCTGGTCGACCCACCTCATGGCCAAGGTGTGGGAGAAGCTGGATCAGGAGCACAGGCTGTGGGTGCAGTGGCCGATTGAGGAGCTGGGCTGGGTGCCGCCTTAGTTGATGTGTTGCCTTCTTGTGGTGCGGGCACAAGATGTCGTGGCACGGAAAGTTCGCAAATGTACGAACCGGGCACAAGATGAAAGTTCGCAAATGTAGAACCGGGCACAAGATGAACGTCCACAAATGTATGAACCGGGCTGTAGCTTGCCTTTTGCTGGATCAAAAACAGCAGACACACCTGCTTATTCTATCCGTCCCCAGCTCCAAATGTTGAGCCCAACCTTGACGCCCTCCTTCACGGGCAGTCCGGCGTGCCACGACTCGTCCCAACCCCGCCTGCTCCCGTCCGGCCGAAAGTTCTCCCAGTACACAGCATTGCCGGGGATGACCTTGAACACGACGCCCTCTTTCCTCGCCGCCTGCGTCTCTCCGCCCGCCGCACCCTCTTCGCCCTCGCCCCCACCCTCGCCCTCGCCGTCACTTCCATCCTCGCCCTCGCCGTCACTTCCATCCTCGCCCTCGCCCTCACACTCGACAAACCGACACCAAGCCCCGCGCCGCGCCGCAAGCCGCGAAAACTCGGTCCCCCCGTCAACGACCCCCTCGC